TATTATTTGCATGCTTGCTTTTGTCCTGTTTCATAAGCCCAGAGTGGAAGGAGATGGGAAGCAAGCTGTCCTGTTCCTTCTTTTGGAAATGACAGTTGGGAAGGTGATTCCTATCATCACACTTTCCAGTGACTCTTGGACCCTTATATAAATTTAAGACTTGAGGGCTGAAATTGAACACCCCCCTGGTAATTAAGTTCTTATTGTGAGAGTAAACTTGAAAGCAGGAATGGCCTTCCTTTTCCTGATGAGTAAACCTGTCTGAGTAATTGATTTGTAATTACTTAATAAATGTTGTAAACCAGAAGAGGCTGTCTACATATGGCTGAAAGCCAATTTTCAGCATCCTGAGGACCAGTTATGATCGGGAGGTACCGAATCATGTTCTTGATTTAAATGAATAAGAGTTTGTATTTTAAGAAGTATACAGTATTTCTGTTATGGTATCAGCTCTTGGGTAGATTTGAGTTCCTCTGGATGGATGTTGCTAGAGAGGGGTTTTTATTTCTGTTGATTCTTTTCTTAGACTTCGAAAATCTCTCCAGAAGAAATGGAAACAACTCAAGAACTTAAGAGAAGAGAGAAGAAAAGTGTTAAGAGTTTCAGTGATGGTCACAAGGAGAATTTTTCCACCATCCTTTTTCATGAGAATCAGGCAAGAAGGTACAGAAGCCCGGGAGTATTGTGGTTGGCATCTTGTTTTAGATGAGAAGAGCTTACTATATAAGCTCTCAATTTATTGGATTTGGGTTTAGTGGACTTGAGACACAATAAAGACATTCCATCTCCCATTTTGCACATGCATAAAATTCCATTTGCTATTTAACGGGCCATCTGATTTAACAGACACCGAAAGCTCAAATTGATGGCTATCATGTTTTGATCTTTCAGAGGCCAACAAAGCCAAACAAGACAAAGCGATAAAGAGATAAAGAGGAAGACCAAAGTTTCAAATACTTCCAGTACCACTCCTGCTAAATCGAGAATTTTTTCCATGGCTGCTTGGAATACTCAACAGAAGACCTTTGTACCCTCTTTGAAAGGTACAGTCAATGTTGGCATGCATTCTTGTACACCATTTAAAATCCGAAGACAGGAGTCCTCTTCCAAACCTGGTGAAGATGCTTCAGGCAAGAACTGTCCACCTAGAAAGCCTCGGCTTGCAGGACCAAGCCAGACACTTGGATCCAAAGCCCGCAAAGATCGGCCTCAACGCTCTGTCGTCTTGAAAAGTAAAGAGCAGAAAGTGTCGAAAGGAAGCTGTGCTCGTCCCTCTGCCAGATCGACAGCTGAGATTTACAGCAGCCAGCATTCAACCGCCGGAAGAAAGATCAGAAAGCAATTCAGTTCTGAAACGATGTCCAGGTCCTCTATCCTGAAAAGGGTCAGCGATCCTAAACCCCACCCCAACGACCCCAGAGAAAAGCTTGTGAAACGCACCCAAAGGAACGGGACTAAAGGCGAACAGGAAAGCAAAGATTCACTGTCCCGAACCACTTCCAAACGCCGTCAGGTCAACTTTGCAAACTGGGAACCTCTTGGCTTGGAGAAAGATAGAGTAAGAGGCTCTCAGGATGACGGCGATGACGACACCACTGCACCTTCCACAGAGAAATGTGGGCTCGCAGAAGGACACAACGGCGGTTGTGCTTGTACCGTCCAACAAGGGCCGCCTTTTCTGCACGAGCTTTGCCAGGAAATGACTCAAGAAGCACCTGCTGATCAGACCAGGGGCGAATCCAACAAGTCATTTTCTCCGAAGGAGCCAAGAGACGCCCGGGGGGGAGAGTATCGCGTCGATAGCTCACCAAGTCCAGAACGAGTGTTAGAATCGGAGTCCTGTAAACGAGAGGCAATCTGTATCCCGCCCACGGCTCCAGCCGGTTGCCGATGTTCAGAACTACCAAGTTACTGCATGTGTGAAATCAAGGAAGAGCAAGAGATCGGGTTTCCTGGGGAAACCGCCGCGCTTTCGAACAGTTTGGACGGGGAAGAATCCGACGAGGAGCTCACCAACTCGTCTCTCTCGAGCAGTGCCAGATCATCCAGCTGGTTATGCGAGCAGATGGTAAAGTGTTTGAAACCTGAGCTTTTCTGCATTCTTGGTTATTGGTTCCGGACGTTAACCTGTTTATATTTATAAACCGTTGCTTTTCAAACAGCTGGCCAGTAGTTTCCACTATTTCAAATGACATGAGAGTTGGCGTTCCCGTTCCAGCTTGATGCTTTTCCGAAAGATTTGAGCTAGCCCAGCGTTTTTTTTTAATCTTGGTGACAGGTGCTAGAATTCCCCAGCCAATGTCAGGTGCAGGGAACCAAGAACAACATGGTGAGTTGCTCAGAGCAGTTTCTTTACTGCTCTTTGCATGTAGACAGGAACCTTGTCAGACTAAAGCACACACTCCGCATAAGGATCAGTTCAATTTTGGGAAGGTGTTAGGGAGGATCCCTTCTGGGTTTCTTTCTGCATACCAACCACCCAAGATTGATTTGTTTTTTACTTCCTGGAGAAAAGAGCTCTCCTCTCCTGCAAGCTAGTGCCAGATTCCATCACATCCATTTTTGTGCTGGCTGGGGAATTCTGGGAGCTGGAAGTCCACCCAACTTTAAAGTTGCCAAAGATGAGAAATAACGAGCTAGATGATAACATGCGGAGGGATAAAGTCTCTTGAGAAGGCCAAGTATCTATTTATCTAGTTCTTATTTGTTGAAGAAACAGTGATCAATATTTACACACCTGCGTACCATTCACTGGAAGTGAGTGGTGCAGTGGCCCAAGAGGGTGGAAGCGCCATCACTTGAGACCTTCAAGAAGAGATTGGACTGCCATCTGTCGGAAATGGTGTAGGGTCTCCCGCTTGGGCGGGGGGTTGGACTAGATGACCTACAAGGTCCCTTCCAACTCTGATTATCTGTTATTATCTGTGGAGCTCTGGCCTCACAATCAGGAGGCCGTGAGTTCGACCCTAGGCAGAGGCAGATATTTCTCGCTCTGGCACAATGAGAATATATCTGCAGCAAACTCTGCATTGGCGATAGGAAGGGCATCCGGCCAGTAAACGCTCAGCTCCATTCAGTTGCCTTGACTCCACCCCGCAAGGTCATTAAACAACAACAAAATACCGTTCACTGGAAGGACGTGTTTTCACTTTAATTTTGCAGATGATGACAAAACCTCCAATTTAGACATATCTCTTCATAATTTCTTCTATTGTAGGATGAAGACATTACACTAAAGGAGGGCGTCAACCCCAAGATGGAGACATTTCTTCAGAAACTTCTGAAGGCTCCTGAAAATGGCACCATCCCGCAGGAAGTGTCCAATCGGTATGAAAAACAGAAGTAAAAACCTGTGTTAAATTTCCCTTGCCAGTGACTGCTTTTGCATTTCATTTGATGCTCCAGAAGTTTCTAAGAATGCAGCACTGCTTTATAATGATTAGAGTTCCACACTTTTGTATTATTTTGTAATAATCAGGATTTGCTCAAGGATGTCGCAAGAATTTAATAGACCATTAGATGATTTATTGCAGATCTCCAAGACATTTCTCCTTCTAGACCTGTTGGATTATAGCGTCCACTGCTCTTATTGTGCTGGTTTTAAGATTCTGTACTTATGTAACCTTAGTACTTGTAAATGTGCTTCTTTTCTGGAAAATACTGATCATGAACATGAGGCCATCTTTTCCAGACAAGGAACTTATTTTTCTGTTTCCCCAAATTTTCTCAGCTTAGACCTCTGAACTTAAAACAGCGTATTTTAAAACAGGGTTGTGTCCCATTGTGTTCAACTTAATCCAATTTAACACAGTATTTCAGTCTTCATAGCAGTCAAATAATCAGTACTGTATTCTTGTGATGCTTTTCTCCATATTTTAGCCAAACATCTGACTAGAAAAAAAGGGAATTGATTGTAGGTATAAATAAGATGTGCCAATTATGTAACTGACAATGATGCTATGACATTGTAATGATTTTTTTATTCTGATGAAGCCATTTTGAGTATCTTTTATTTTATTTTCTTTGGTTAGCCCAATCATTTTTTTAAACTGTCCAAAAACAAATAAAAGCATGTTTATTTCTGCAAAGTTTTCACGGTATATTTACTGTTTTACATCCTTGCTTGGTTTTACAAATGTTTTCTATAAAACATTGAGGGACCAGTCTTTAACATCACCTTAACAGGCCTAGTTCTTAAATGCACATGTGACATTTCAAGTGTATAACGTTAAGCCAGATGTCTGTCCTTTCCCCCAAATAAGTACTGGTTGTCCTCATTTAGTGACCACCAGCAGAGGTAATCACTAAGTGAAACTGTGGCTGTGCTTCTGATCTTACTCCAGCTTTCATCACCGTCGTAACTGCAAAGAGTCGCTAAAGGAAGCAGCTGCTAAACAAGGACTGCCTGTATTATTTCTGTGGTTCTATAACAAAAGTGATGTGGTCAAATTGCTGAATAAGCTTTCAGATCCCTCCCCACTCATTAAATCCTCAGCTCTTAAGATCTGGGTGCTGTTTTCTGGGTGCTGGCACCCAAGATTTGTGTGCATTGATCAAAGTACTTTGTACACACAAGGCCAGAGAATCTGGCAGCTTGGAAATCTCAACAACTGTGATTGTTCAGCTCTGACCACCTTCTGACTCTCTTTACTGATTAGGTTTCGAATGGTCCCCAGCTCCATAAAACTTTATCTTCATCAAATAATAATAAAAAAAAACCAGTAAAACAGCCATGGCCATAAATCTGGAAATGACAGTTCACCTAAAGGCCCAGGGGAGCAGCTGGACTTTGGGGGCATCATCGGAGTGGGATGGTTCTCCGGATACAGATGGGGGATGTTCTTCCAAAGGCCAAATTCTGGGACAGAAAAGGGATGCTACCCAAGTCCCAAACAGATTACAGGTGGTCCTTCACTTAACGACTGTAATGGAGCCTGCCCATTACGGTCACAAAGCAGGCCATCATGCGACCGACCCAATTTTACCTTTTTGTGTGTGTGTAGGTTGTTAAGGAAATCACCATAGTCATTAAGCAAACCCATTGTTTGCTACAGGGTGTTTTTTGCCCAAAACGGGAAGTAAACCCCATTTTTCAGCCCAAACCGTGTCAAATCAATCATGGGACACTTCAGGACACTGTAAACAGCAGTAAATGCGGACTGGTGGCCAACTGCCTGAATTGTGTCCCCATGACCTGAGGGTGGGCGGGGCTGTAGGAATTTCAGAGCTGGGTGGTAGCTACTTTTGGGGGAGTCCACGGGAACCTTGAATACTCACCAAGCGATCGTTGCTAAGTGGACAACGAACCTCTACAGTTTTAAGGGACACCAATTACACTTGTGTCCTGATGCCGTACACATCAATGTAAGTCGCAGAGTTTGTGCTGCAATGCAGTTCATCCTCATCCGCTCGATCTCCATGATTCCAGCATCCTCTTTGTTTAGGAAAAAAGTTTGTCATTGGCTCTCGTGTGGTGCTATCACAGCAGTCAGGCACCCAGAACACGAGTGAAGCCAGCGCCGCGGAAAATCCTCCATCTAACAACAAACTGAACGTGCCCGTCCCAGTTTGTGATGGCGGAGACTTCAGTTATTTGCTGAAGCCAGCCCCTGCTTGCTTGGACTTCATGTTCCCTTCAAGGGGGTTGAAAAAGTCCCAGCGATGCACCTGAGCTTTAGTCAATTGCTGGATCAGGAAGAGCTTGTCCCGACTCTCCTGTGGAGACACCAGACAGCTGATTAAAACATGTCATCATTAACAATGGTTTATGAATGAATGAATGAATGAATGAATGAATGAATTTGTCAACTCATAAAATATTTCTATTGCCAACAGAAAGGGATGGGGGGAAGCAGTGCAGCAGCTTGCAAAATCGAAACTGCATTCCATAAATGTTTTCAAAGATAGTAACTAGGTGACTGAAGTTTCTGCCATGCAAAATTCTAACTGGAGAGCATGGTTGATGACTCTTGGCTATGGATGTGTCCCATTGGAGAATATGAATTACGATACACCCAGAGGGGTGGGGCAAAACCAGGGTCAAGGGTGACAATGGACGATGTGTCTCAGAGTCGGCTACACCCAGGCGGACATGTTAACTCCCAATAAATCCTTTTTTAAGTTTTGGAAGTTTGGCTCGAGACTCATGATTTAAATGGGGGTAACCACTAGAATCCTGACAGAATTCTTTATTGGCCTTGTGATTAGACACACAAGGAATTTGTCTTGGTGCAAATGCTCTCAGTGTATCGGATAAACTGCCATTTGCCCTGAACTGCATGCCAAACCCGAAACTCTAGCTAACCACCCAACAGTCAACATAGTAAGTCCGAATGAAATACAGGTAGCCCTCAACTTACAACAGTTCATTTAGTGACCGCCCAATGTCATAACATCACTGAAAAAAAGTGACTTATGACTGTTTTTCACACTTACAACCATTGTAGGATCCCCTTGGTCATTCGGATACTTGACAACTGACTCACATTTGTGACGGTTGCAGTGTCAAGTAGTCATGTAATCACCTTTTGTGACCTTCTGACAAGTAAAGTAAATGGGGAAGCCACATTCACTTAACAACTTTAGTGATTTGCTTAACAAATGTGGCAAGAAAAGTCGTAAAATGGGGCAAAACTCACTTAACAAATTTCTCACTTAACAACATAAATGTTGGGCTCATTTGTGCTCGTAAGTTGAGGACTACCTGTAAATCACTCTGAAATGTCACAAAGTGTGAATCCAGCAAAACGCAAAGAAACAGTGCTTAGAAGCCCAAGCTGACTAGATCTAAAATCTAACACGGTTGAAGGATCTCTGCTTCGTAAGATCTTCCAGTATTGTTTCAACAGAAAACGCTTCTGGCAGAGATGACAGCCTCCCAAACTGATAGATGCCATTTCATTAACTTAGAAGAAGAAGGTAATGAGAGGCTAGATTTAAAGTTCAAACATAAATTTGACCTGTATAAAATGTGCATGGTGTTCCAATCTCTGCCTCCACAAATCAATAAAGAAAGCCACGTGTCACTCAGGGTATCATTTGAATAACATTACGCATTCAGTAAGAGCAAGGTAGCAGGACAGCATTAACAAATGCTGTTAGGTTAAAACTTACCGTAGCTAATTGTTCCCTCAGTTGATTAATCACTCGTTTATGGGCTCCAGCCAAGGCAATGAAACAAAACACAACAAAGCTATAAAACAAGGTGAAAAATATATAGATGAGACACTCTGGTATGGACTAAGTTTGTAAAACACAATCTTCTGAATTCAGAGCCAATATGAAACTAATAGGTATCACAAGGCATGGAGAATATGTGGTTATGGGGTTATTAATATGGAACATATTAATCAAATCAAGGCTCACTGGTGTCTGTAGTAAGCCACAATAACCATGCGTATACATAATGAGGTCATGAATATGTCATTATAACACCTAATAAGAGGATGGAAGCTCGAGTGATTGGAACACTGGGCTGGAGGTTTCAAAGCCCATGTTAGAGACCTGAGAACTGCCGTGGGGCGGGGTTGAGTTCTCATCCTTCACTCCAGCTCCTTCCAGGGACATGGAAGGAATCCCCAACTGGGCATCCCTGGGGCAATGGTATGTCACTGGCTAGTCCTTTCAACCTGGAAGGGCCTCGGTGCTTCTGACATGGTACAAGAACACCAAATGAAAATACGGAAGCCAAGTTGTCATCATTAGGTCCTCTCTTGCAAATATTTAGAATAAGGAATCTTAAGGTTAAGCAGTCCCACCAAAATACTGAACATGAAAATTTGGGACAATTATGCCTTCAAACATGTACAGTTCAGTCAATCATCTTGACTGCCACCAGCAAAATACGGCAACCTTCATCCTAAGGCAAGAGTCTCCAAAACTTGGCAACTTTTAAGACTTGTGGACTTCAATTCCCAGAATTCCTCAGCCAGCTAGGAATGAAGAATTCTGGGAGCTGAAGTCCACAACTCTTAAAATTCCCAAGTTTTGGAGAGCCCTGTCCTAAGCAATCAATGACCAGGATTAAGGAAGGAGACATAATGGTACTTTCAAGTACAGCAAAGAGTTATGGGGGCAGCCAGGAACATCAAACATCACCCAACACCTCCATTTTAATCATCTTTAAAGATGCTTTTTTGAAAAATAGTCAGTATGGTCCATGTGTGGATTCCACATTAAACTATCTACCCCTGCTTCATGTACCCCAATTGCAGAGGTTATACAAAACACGACGCCCAACTGAAATCCACGTGAGAGCTTGCCAAAACACTTGTGCGAATCACACCCCTGGGTCTGTCAACAAAAGCTCACCAGGTAACCATGAAGAAAGGCACGGCAAACGTTTCCGAAGAAATGCCGTTCAGGATTCTCTGCAGCACGAGGGGGAATTTCTGGATGGTGTGTCCAATGACATCCCACGAACGATTGAAATTCAGAAAAGGCCCACAGGCTTTAGAGGAAGGAATGCTGTTTGGGAAGGGACAGTTGAGACAACACCAGATGGGGTCAAGCATACTGTATGTGCTACACTTTATTTATTTATGTATTTGGTTATTTATATCCAGCCTTTGTTATTTTTTTTTTTTACAAATAACTCAAGGAGGCAAACATACCCAATACACCTTCCCTTTTCTTGTTTTCTCCATAACATGTTCTGACCCAGCTCCCCAAACACGACAAACCCTCTGTATTTAAATCAATGATTCTTTTAGGAGAACGATCAATGATTCTTTTAGGAGCGCCAGCAGCTCCAGCAAAAGTTTCTCCTGCAGGCTAACAAGCAGGGAGATGAATAGTTTTTTGCCTGCCACATCTATTTCTCTCCGTCCCCTGCCTTTTATCCCCAGAGCTAGGGTGGGGCTTTGCTAGCAGTGGTGGCTCTTCCATCCCAAGGACCAGCCCACGGATTTCCACTGCTCTCCTCTCCTCTGCCTTCTGTGCATTCGCGTCTTAGGCACGGGACCCAGCTCCTCCTCCTCCTCCTCCTCATCAGCCACCTCCAGACCTGGGGTCTGTTGATTCTCCAAGGGCTGGTGGACAGGCCAGGCTCCACCTCTGACCCTCTCTCTGCCAGCTCCATTCCCCCGCGGAGCTCCCTGACTCCCACACCTCCTACTCCTATTCAGCTGCTGGAGGGGCTGGCGGCCAATAGGCCATAATGTAACAACTCTGTGAAGTGTGTTGGGTTGAGAGAGTAGGACTGGCCCAAGGTAACCCAGCTGGCTTTCATGGCTAAGGCAGAACTTGAACATGATTTCTTGTTTTTTGTCTGACACCTCAACCAGTAGATCGAATTTAGCTCTGTTACCCTTGTAGAACATTACAGCAGCTTACTGCACTCAATGGCTACTAAATGTAGACTACCATCTTCATGATCTCAAGTCTACCAGTGCTGGAGATGCTGGCTGAGGTACAATCCATGTGCAGGCACATATCTCAAGGAAGGCTACGCGGTTCCTCTACTTGTCCATGGGGACATGCTCCTTAGCTACTTCTCTAAGAGTTTCAATTGAGCAGCGGGGCAAGAACCTAGACTACAATACAGGGGAGGATAATGCAAAGGTACATCGAGGAACACCTGTCACCAACATGAAAGCAACTGACCGTGTCATGCTGAGTCCCAAAGGAATGAATGCCAAAATGAGACCAAGCAGAAGTACCACCAGGAAGAAAAAGTGTGAACTGGAGGCTCTGAAGGGCCGTGCTGAAGGTTTACATGTGTGCATCAGGCTCAACTGGAAAGTGAAAAGAGAAATTAAGATCTAATAGTTAAACACTCAAGAGGAAAAAAAAAAAACACAGATGGATTTTTTTTACATTACAGAGAGGCAACTACAGGGAGTCAAGACCACAATCGACCCCAAACTTCTGTGGCTAAGGGAGATGTTTGTTACGACCTTCCTTGCCACAGGTGTTTTTTTTAATTATTATATTTTTAATTATTATATTTTTTTCTTTACATATCTCAATCACTTATTAAACAGTACTGCGACATTTTTTTTATACAACTACATTCCATATCCAATACAGTTTATACATTCTATTCCTGTATCTTCTACATCTATTATATACATTTCCTTTTCTTATTTCTACTTTCTATCCAATCGTACCATTTCTCCCATAGTGCATAATATTCAGTATCTTTTCCTTTTAATTCTATAGTCAATTTATCCATTTCCACACACTCAATAATTTTTTTTAATTATTAGGCCTTTGGATGGTATGTATCCTTTCTTCCAACACTGCGCAAAGGCGATCCTTGCTGCTGTTATTATATGTAACGCCGTATATTTTGCCCTTTGGTTGTATTTTCCTTTAATTATCCCTCCGGAAATAGTTCCGGAGCAAATTCTATTTTATTTCCTATTAATTCCTGTAACCACTTTTTGTATTTTCCTCCAATATTTTTTGTTGTTGCTTCGGGGCATAACCGTCATTGTATGATAGAAGGCACCTTGTTTTTGTCTGCATTTCCAGCGGTTTGGATTTGAGTTAAGGGTAAATCTTAGCCAGCCTTGCCGGCGCCACTTGCCACAGATGTGAAATGAATTGCTGGTCACAACAATGGTTGTGAAGGGAATCTGGCTTCCCTGTGGACCTCGCTTGTGAGGAGGTTGCAAATGGGGATCCTACGACCCCAGGATATGGCAACCATCACACATATTAGCCAGTTGCCAAGCATCTGAATTTTAATCATGACTGTAGGGATGCTGCAAACGGTCGTAAGGATGAAAAACAGTTGTAAATCCTTTTTTTCAGTGCTGTTGTAACTTCAGTCGCTAAATGAACAGTTGTATCCCAAGGACTATACCTGTACTTCCCTAGATATTCACACTGGGCCCAAGAGGGAACAAGGGCAGGCCTTCCTAGATGATTCAAGGCACACAAAAAAGACCATCTAGTTACCTTTTTAATATAAAAGACAATGAAATATTTCACGGCTGCAATTGCTGGGAGGAGGGGACAGTAGAAGGTTCCGATCCAGCAGATCGTCTGTCCATAAACTATTTCCAACACATTATCTGGGATAGCAAACTCCTGCAGCCCAACCCACCGGAAAGCCTTGACGGGACAATGGGTAACAATCAACCTAAGAGGAGAAAAATGAATTCACTTTTGATCCTTCATGCCCAGCACATGCCTCCATAAAAACCCAAAACACATGTTGTTAGATGCAGAGGTAGCATTCAGCCGGTTCTGACCAGTTCTGGAGAACCAGTAGTGGAAATTTTGAGTAGTTCGAAGAACTGGCTAAGAGCACCTCTGACTGGCCCCACCAACCCCATCTATTCCCTGCCTCCCATTGAGTCCCAGCTGATCGGCTGGGTCTTCTTTGGTTGCCCTGTATAGGAGATCGGAGCTGGAAAGCAGGTTAGTGGGGAGGGAATGGAGATTTTACAGTAACTTTCCCTGCCACGCCCACCAAGCCACGCCCACCAAGCCACACCCACAGAACTGGTAGTAAAAAAAATTTTTGAATCCCACCACTGCTGCCCATCTCACTGTTCAATGATCCTCCAGTTTGGAGTCTAGTCTAAAAGTGAAAGGTTATAGACCGGTGTGGCTCTCTGTCCCAAACAAGCCACTCTGAACCCTCCTGGGAATTACATACTCACTTCCTAGGAAAGTCAATGAAGACGATAACGGCGAAGATGATGATCAAGTCAAAGATCATCAGTTTATACATTTCCTGGCCAACTCGGGATTCCCAACACTGAAACAAGAAGATTCCCAGATTAAAAACAGCAACTGTGGGGGGAAAAAAATCACCAAGCAGCATAAAACCAAAAGTTGGAAACAGCTATTGGCATCTTAGTGAATTACAGGCAGTCCTCGGTTTATAACCACAATTGAGCCTAACATTGATGTTGCTAAGTGAGACAGTTAAGTGAATTTTGCTCTGTTTTACTCCCTTTCTTGCCACCGTTGTTAAGTGGATCACCGTGGTTGTTAAGTTAGTAACATGGTTGTTATGTGAATCTGGCTTCCTTCTTGCCTTTGCTTGTCAGAAGGTCGGAAAAGGAGATCATGTGAACCCAGGACTCAGCAACCAAGCATTCAAATGTTGATCATGGGATCGTACGCAGGCTGCAGCAGTTGTTAAGTGTGTAAAATGGTTGTAAGGAGTCTTGGGTGCTCTCTGAGGTTGTCTGTTTTCTTGCAGGTGTTTCATTACCCAAACTAGGTAACTGTCAGGATTCTGGCAGTCACCCCCATTTAAATCATGAGTCTTGAGCCAAACTTCCAAAACTTCCAAAGGATTTATTGGGAGTTAACATGCCGGCACTGCCTGGGTGTAGCCGACTCCGAGACGCATCACTCATTGTCACCCTTGACCCTGGTTTTCCCTCCATCCCCCTGGGTGTCTCGTAATTCATATTCTCTAATGGGACACATCCATAGCCCAGAGTCATCAATCATGCTCTCCAGTTAGATATTTGCAGGGCAGAAACTTCAGTCACTTAGTTGCTATCTTTGAAAAACTATTTATGGAATGCACTTTCAGTTTCCAAGCTGCTGCACTGCTCCCCCTCCCTTTCTGTTGGCAATTCTAAAAAACACCATAGAAATATTTTATGAGTTGACAGTAACATCATCAGAAATTTATTTGAATGGTTACCTAAATGAACTGTTTAAATTGAGGACTACCTCAAAAAGAGCCGTGGTGGCCCAGTGGTTAGAGTGCAAGTACCGCAGGCTACTTCTGCTGACTGCCTGCAATTTGGCAGTTTGAATCTCACCGAGCTCAAGGTTGACTCAGCCTTCCGTCCTTCCGAGGTGGGTCAAATTAGGGGTCAGATTGTTTGGGGGCAATAGGCTGACTCTGTAAACCACTTAGAGAGGGTTGTAAAAGCACTGTAAAGTGGTATATAAGTCTAAGTGCTAGTGCTATTGCTACCTGTTTTTATATCAAGGCAAAGAATCTCAGTGAGGGGGCTGATCTTCTTTGCCATTAAGTGTTGTTCAAGGAAAGCCAATAGAGACATCTTTAATTCACAAACCTAATTTGATGACTCACGTACACTTCGTAAGTAAATGGACTTACTGGGTAAAGGTGGTAGTTGTAGCCACACGTCTTGCATTTGTCAGCACAGGACGTGATTCGAGTCCACAGCGAAATCAAAAGGACGACAACGTTGGCCAATCGCACAAAGACACACCTTCAAGACATAATGGAGGTACATGAAGAAGTGAGCCAGTATCCCAGATGTTTTGCAACAGAAGATTAAAGAGCAATGGTGGGCATGTACGAAATTCGTTGCTGGGGTTATCACACTGCTAAGCTGTTTGTTCTCTGTGGCTTGCCTGCTCAGTGTTGGTGGAAGTGTTCTTGATGGCTCCTTGAACATAAACCGACTATACAAACCAAAACAAAAACCCCACTACCTTCTAGCAACTTCTAGTATGGTAATAAAATGTCTGCAAGAAATTTATTTGCTGTCTATCTTGCCTCAAGGTAAAAAAAAAAAAAAAGCTCCTTTTGGGATGCTTACCTTTAAACAGTCTTTTTTAACAGGCAATTAGTGTCACATATCATACTAAAACATGCCGTGGTTTGCTTGGCTGGGTTTAGCACGTTGTATGAATCCAAATACTGAAGTGAGGACTCCTTGGTGTTCTTGGGAAAATGTCTGTTTTCTTGTTTCCTTACCCAAACCCGGTAACATCATCACTGCTAGTGATGACTAGCACTGATGATATTACCTAGTATGGTAATGAAACATCTGCAAGAAAACTACCAAGATTGGACAGCACCAAGGACCCCATAGTTTCCTCCTCTTCCTCCCCACCCCGCAAATTCTATTCCTTTCCAGTATTGATGACATTATCTAGAATGGTAATGAAATGTCTGCAAGAAACCATAAAGCTCAGAGAGCACCAACGACTTCTTATTTCAGCCCTGAGCTAAAAATATTCTTTTCTGTTGGGACCACTTGATCATTTGTCCCATTTCCTATGTGCGATACTCCTCTAATTATTTTCCTACTGAAAACAGCTGCTTCTGAATTCTATCTGATTTCAGGACCCACCAAAGGAGCTAAGGGGGTTTCCTGGCCTCTACAGACAATCCCACCCATTCACCCTATGTGAGAAAAGAATGCAAACAACGGAAAGGCCACTATGTTACCTGATCAGAGTTAAGCGTATCTCAAAGACGGGCGAATAGTCTTCATATTTGATGAGAAATGAAAAAATCAGTGGGGCAAAAAAGTTCGCGACAGTGATCACCATAGAAGGCAAGTATTGCACCAAGAGGTCGCCTAATTTGATGTTGTTTTCCTGCGTGGAAAAAAGTTCCTTCGCTTTGTTAAAGATTCTAGTTTATATCCACCCATAATGGCTGGGTTCAACAAATCGTAGTTAAAATAAGTACGCGTTTAGCTCAATGGGTAAAACAACTATCATTCTAAGCCAATTCCACTCCCTCCCCCAGAACTGTTAAGAAAGTACAAACTGATTGAAAGGATAAAATGACGCAGGATTTCCACGAGATAAATTAAGATCAGAACATAATTTCAAACATTGCTTGCTACTTACTGGGAAACTGTGTTCTTGTGAATAGACGGTTACTCTGTAGATGGAATAAAAACAAGCCGACAAGACAGCCAAAACGACACAGTTTAAGAAGATCCTCAAACAATAAATACGTGCTTTCTCTTTGAAGCTTCTGTCTGCTGCCCTCTGTCTTAATCGTTCATCCTGCAAATCTGTCTGCGAACAGAAATATATTTATAAGCTTAATTTTTAAATCAATCACAAGCAAAATTATTTTAAAACGAATCTTTGGGTCAAAAGAAGAGACCACAGTCATCTGAGACAAAGCAATTATGTGTTCCTGGTCAGAAGGCAAAATAAAATGTTGTATAATTTAACAATCAAGTATCTCCCCAACTGACTAGTCTTTTTTATTAACTTTTACTGCTGATTTTTCTAAAATAACTTGTGACAAATGCCAGGAGAGGGGGGGGGGGGGGAAATTTATATATATTTTTTTTCTGACTATTGTATTGTACTGTATTGCAAGTTTATTCAACTGTTTGCTACTTGGGATATTTGAGAAGAGAGGACGGTTCAATATGTTCTTAGAAAAAGAAATATACGTACTTTAAGTTCATAAAGTAAACTACTATGTTTCAGCCGAGCAGCATTTACATCCGTGATGCAGAAATCCCAACCAGCCAGAATCTTATTGCAGTAGCTCTGAAATGGATCTTCGTTGTATATCAAGCTTCGCTTAAAACCTTCCACCGAGCTGTTTATAACATTGCCAGGGATGCATTTTTGTGTGTGTGTTTTTTGTTTTAAAAGAAGAAAGCAATGTTAGAAATTTCAGGATGGTGTTTATAATAATTATCTTCCTTAATAGTTACACATCTTGCTGTTAAATTAATCCCTAAGTATTTTACTTTCTTAGTAATCTGAATACCTATTCCCTTCATTTACTCTTCATGGCATGGGATTTATTTTATCAATGCTTAAATAACAAAGATGGAAGTTAGAAACAGGGAAACAAAATAAAGAAGGTAAGTTAAAAGAGATAAGCAAATATGATTAATACGTTGAATATTACTATTTTAATATTGTAGAATCCATACCAATGTAATAAATGATGTTGCAAATTTTGATTACTGTTCAACTAAGATATTTGCACCCGGACAACACACTGTTCAACTGAAGATGGAATTATTATATATTAAAAATAAAAAAAATGTAATAAAGAAAAAAAAAAGAAAAAAGAAATTTCAGGATGGAGTTTAAAAATTCTACACAAACTTCCATGCCGGCTGGGGAACTCTGGGAGTTGAAGTTCACACATCTTAAAGTCACCAAAGTTGAGAACCCCTCCTACAAATAGCAAACTTTACTTTGGATTGCTACAAACAAATACTTGGACAATGATGGATAACTCTGCCTGAATAGCGAGATGTCAGATTTGGGTGATTTATATTACAGGTAGTTCTCAACTTAAGATTAAAATTGAGCCTAGCATTTCTGTTACTAAGCAAGCTTTGACCCATTTTACAATCTTCTTGCTGCATTTAAGTAAATCACTGCAGTTGCTAAGTGCTAAGTCACCCAGTTGTTAAGTGAATCTGGCTTCCCGTTTGACTTTGCTTGTCGGAAGGTCACAAAAGGTGACCCCCCATGACCCTGTTGTCAACCCTGATCTGACTGAAGCCATTTTGGAACCTTTGCTGGAGCTGAGGGATAGGGAGGGGGGATTTTAGATGGTTGGGATTTTGTAGCCAAAACAAAATACTTTCTCTTGGGAACCAAGGACATTCTCACACCAGGTCAGAGGGAGGCGGAGTAATGTCACCTGGCAACCAGACCGTGCCGTGATTGGACCATGTGACCGATAGTTTTGAGAAAGTGACAAACTTTTACTTTGAATGAGGTGAAAACTGCGGGAGACTTCAGAGTCGGTTTTCACCAGATCTGTGCCAATATGGTACTTCCAATAAAGCTATTCTTTGAGGGATCTACCTGCCTCGGAGTTTTGCTTGCTACGGCTCTCTTACTTGGGACCCTGACACCTGTAACTGTCACAAATATCAACCAGTTGTCGAGCGCCTGAGTTTGGATCACGTGACCACAGGACTCGTCGTAAGTCACTTTTTTCAGTGCTGATGTAATTTCCAACTATCACTAAATGAATTGTTGTAATTCAAGGACTACTTGCGCAGTTATGTGGTCAGTGTCAGGGCTCCGGCCTCCACCCCCATTTAAATCATGAGCAGCTTCTCTAAGAGTTTAAATCAGATTTATTAGGAGTAAACATGCCGGTGCTACCTGGGTGCATCTGACTCTGAAACACATCATTCATTTCACCCTTGACCCTGGTTTCCCCCCCACCCCCTGGATGTATATTCTCCAATGGGACACATCCATAGCCAAGAGTCATTAATCATGCTCTCCAGTAATAATCTTGCGCGCCAACAGCTTCGGCTGCCAAGGCGATTATCTATGAAGCATTTAAGGAATGCACTACTTCCCCCACTCTCTTCCTGCTGGCAACTCTAAAAGACCAGAGAAATATTTTTGAGTTGACAGTCAGACTATCTTACCCATGTCTTTTAAATACCCCAAAGCCCTTTAGAGTTCTTCAATCCTCAACTCTGCTCTTTTAGAGCGGTCGTTTCTATGGCCCTGGCTTGGCAAAGGGAAGGTCCATTTTCCCAGCAGGATTTACCGTTTGATAATCCAGACAAAGCTCATTGAAAGGTAAGCCAGCGTGATCAGCAAATATGCCAGTGGCACGTGGTACTCCAGCACACCCAGAGGTACGTTGTCCACCGAGTAATAGCCATAAAAGAGACTTGTCATTTCAAGGAACCCCTGCGAACAGAATTCAACAAAGGAAGGTCAAGCTACTCTATTCAGACTTGCAATGGGGAACGGTCAGGCTTTAGAAATACATTCAATACAGCAATCTGAAACCATCGATGGCTGTTAGGTTGCAGCCAATACAATCCATTTTTCCCTTCTATTTTTGGCTCATTCAGAAATCCAAGAGCAACAGAAGTCAAATCCTATTGAAAGCACGGTTTGCATAATGAACGAAGCCATAGTCAGATCTCTTATGTTGCCTGAAAAAAGGCAACCACTGGCTGCAAACTAATGGCTGGTAAGTAGGACTTTATTAGTCACCAACCAGCATATGCACATAAAATCCATCTTAATTCTTACGTACAACCACAGCGAAGGATCCAAAAGGCAACAAGGACTGATCTGTAAGCTAATGGCTTATAAACAATGGTTAGTATAGCATGTAGTGTGACTCCATTGTGTGGCCACTTGGTGGCCTGCTGAAAACAGCAGGTTCTTTAGGACTCAGAGACAATAGGTTCCATCTAGGGTGACATGTCTAAAATGAATACATTTTAAAAAGAGTTAGAGGAAAAAACATATTAATCCACCTCTTTTCAACTTGCCAAGAACTTTAAGGTCAGCAACAGACCGCTGGCTGTGCAGCATTTTCTTAGGATTTGGGCCCTATGCCGTGATTCAAATTCTCTTGGGAGCTTTTATCATCTTTCGATATTTTTCATTCTTAAGCACAAAGTAAAAACTCTCTTGTTTCTTAAATAAAATATAACACCTGGAGGTTATGATTTAGTCAAAATTTCTACCTGCCAGAGGTATTTTTCAAGAAGAGGGGGTCCCCAGCAAACAACATGATCAGGATGATCTAATGATCTCTGGTCAAAAAAATCGGGGGTTGCAGAGAAGTGACCTATCTTTTGCAATAGGTTTATGAGAACACCGCTCCTAGTGTGCTATCATTGTTGCCCTCATGCCTTTAACAGGTGTTAGATTAGGGGGCTGGTGTCATCCTCTTTATCTTAAAGACTGCAAGAAGGAATAGAGATAAAAGATTCACAAGCAAAGCCTGACGCAATTCACTTTTTCTAAGCGTGTACCTGCGGAGGAACTGACAAACTAATTTAGCCAAGGTGGCTAAATACCCCCCTTATACATAGCGTAGTAGAGCAATCGTGTATTAATTTTGGAGAACAAAAAATTAGAAATCTGATTGCACCTTTTCTGACTCACAACATTCATTATTAAAGCGTGCCATGAGCTGCAAATTTCTGTTTGCTCATTGGTTACACAGAAAACGCACTTCTGAAGCTCTGATTTTTTTCTTTTCTTATGTATGGAGAGGGGGAAAAAAAGATTTAGGATCACTGTTCTCCCCCTAATGTCTTATGATGGCAAGACACCTAGCTAAGAGTGGCTCATTAAGTAAGTTCCAACATGGCTTAATAATATCTACTCATGTGAGCCAGACTGAAGAAGATCAAAGGATGTTGCAAAAATGGGGGAAGGAATCAGGGGGTCAGGATTCCAGCAGTCACCCCAGTGAAATCATGAGTCTCGAGCCAAACTTCCAAAACTTCAAGAGGATTTATTGGGAGTTAACATGTCTGGCACTGCCTGGGTATAGCCGACTGTGAGACATATCATTCATTGTCACCTTTGACCCTGGTTTCCCTCCCACCCCACCCCCTGGGTGTATCATAATTTATATTCTCCAATAAGACACATCCATAGCTAAGAATCATCAGTCATGCTCTCCAGTTAGAATTTTGTTTGGCAGAAACTTCAGTCAGCTAGTTACTATCTTTGAAAACTATTTATGGAATGCACCTTCGATTTCCAAGCTGCCGAACTGTTCTTTCAAACCCCTTTCCCCCCTCCCTTTCTGTTGGCAACTCTAAAAAGACAATTGAAATATTTCATGAGTTGACACAAGGCCGGTTCCAGCTTCAATTTACAAAAAAAGCAAAACTGGTCTCTCTTTTTTTTTTTAGCACTAGAGGTAGAGGTAGAATTTTTTCAACCTTGCAAATGAAAGGGAAAACACATATAGATATGTTATCATAAACAACTGGGAGCAATAGGGAAGACCTCTGGAAAGGAACACCTTTTTAATCAGATTCAATACTTGATTTAAAAAAAAAAGCAGGAAGTTTTAGAAAGTTATGATCAAGTACTCACTGTGCCAGATAACAGATCTATAATGTAACTGTAGAAGTAGACCAGTCCCTTGGTGCTGACGATTGTATAAACAGTACATTTTGGCCCTGTAAGGAACGACATTCAGAGCAAAAATAGAAGGAAGAAAAAACTTGAATATTCTGACCAAAAGCTGCATCGAGCATAACCTGTTTTTCTATACTCAGGTACAGATAGTCCTTGACTTATGACCACAGTTGGGATTGGAAATTCCATTGCACAAAAGCAAGGCGGTTGCTAAGTGAACTCCACCCGATTTTATTACTTTTTTTTTTTTTGCTATGGTTGTTGAGCAAATCGCTGCAATTGTTAAGTGAATCGCTGCAATTGTTAAGTGAATCATGCAGTTGTTAAGTGAATCTGGCCCCATTGGTTTCGTTAATTGGAAGCTGGCCGGGCCAAATTTTGATCACAGGACCACAGAGATGCTGTGACGGTTGTAACGCGAGGACCAATCCAAAGCCTTTTTATTTTTCAGGGCTAAGTTCCAATGGTCATTTAACGAATGGCTGTAAATTGAGGGCTAATCGTGTCCTGGAAAGGGGTTCGGAAAAGAACGAGTTACCTGTTTCTGGGGGAACTTTCACGTAGCTGCCATTCACAACTCCATATTTAACAAGAGCCGTCGGAAGGGTGATAAAGCCGAACAGGAGAAGGAAGATGACGACGTTTAACACCACCAGGAACCGCAGGAAAGAGAAGTAGGACTTAACCCCGGTGCCAAATTTCTCTAAGAGAAAGAGAGAAGAATATTAACATGGAAACATTCCAGCATTGCACAAGCTAATCTTTTAAGGAGAGCATTCAGCATGAAGACATTCCAACAATCAGTTTACCTGACTCATAGACCCCTTTGGTGATTTGATTTGAGGGCAGCTTTGCATGCCAATTGTGGCCTGTCCCATCATGGTTTGTACCTTAATCTAACTCCAGGAAGCAATTGATTATGATTAATTAAATAAATTTTAGGCAAACAAACCATTGGGTTGTTTCTCCTAAATGACACCCATAAAATAAAATATAATTTGCTGCGGTATCCTGATTTTTTCTAGGATGTTCTTTTTAGAGACACTCTGCCATGCCCCCCTGTCAGAGTCTGAATCTGAGGAGGAAGCTGACAGGGAGCGGGAGTATGGCTTTGTTGGCTGTGGAGGAGGCTGGGGAAGGGTAAAGTCTGGCTGGGCAGAGCAGGGAAGAGGTAGAACAAGGGAGAGGGAGTTCAGAGGAAGACCCAGGCCCACCCCTTCTTCATCCTACGGTACGCAGGGAGGAATGGAGAAGGGAGCAACGTGAGTTGCATGGCTTACGGGGGAGGAAAGGGCCCTGATTCCCTTCATTAGCCACACCTGGGAATGAAAGTTTAAAAGAACTGAATACTGCTTGCGGCATGTGCTGGGAACAAACGTGACTTTATCCTGTGTTGCGTTTGCTTATCTGTGTTCCTGGCGTCTTCCCAACCGTGTAAGTTTTGCTGTGCCTTCACGTCTGGAATTCTTGCTCCTGCCCTGCCAAACTAATTACCTCAGTTTGACTTGATTGGATTTATAGTTACAGTTTGTGTCGACCATGTTTTGGACTTAATTCTCTGCAGTCAAAGGCTGTTCCTGGGAGAGTTCTTCTCCAGCCAGAAGGTAACCAGGACATTGGGGGCAAAGTTGGAGTTAATAAAGGGACTCTTATTGTTTATCTGACTGTGTTGCCTTTGTGCCACGCCCTGGGTCATCACACACTCAACTGGCATCATTAATCTTTTGTGCTGAATAACTCAAGAGTGCAAAAACCATAAATAAGATTTACCCTCGATGCTACGGATGTCATATCTCCACAATTCCAGGTAAGAGATTACTTCTTTGATATTCTCTAACATTTTTTTGAGTGATTTATTAGTTGCTTTCTTCCACTGATTCCACCTTGACTGGGATTGTATTTGTTTTTGTTCAAGCTCCCTGCTCAGAAAAACAGACGTATTAAGGACATCTTTGGAATGAGCAAAATGCAGGTTAAGTTCTTCCATTACTCTAAGCATAACTTGGTTTCTTTGGTTTACTGGATTGTGTGAACAACAATTATTATACCGATTTATGGTTCACCCAGTTCTGGGAATCTCCCCAGCTGTTTTTTCCCCATAGACTCTATTTAAAAAAAAAAACACAAGGTATCATTCATTATTCTACCAAACTCTCAACAAATTCCCAGTAGTTTGCAGCTTAAAAACACAAATAAAAGATAATTGTGATGTTTACTAGATGAAAAGTTGTAAATCAAGAACTACCTGTATTAAAAGCTCTTCTAAAGCATGGCATGCAAATGTGTTCCTGAACTTTTCAAGAATGTATTACACGGGTCTTCAAACTTGACAGCTTTGACTTGTGGACTTCAACTCCCAGAATTCCTCCTTCAGTCTTGTTAGCTCAGGAATTCTGGGAGTTGAAGTCCACAAGTCTTAAAGTTGCCAAGTTTGGGGACCATACACCCTTTTTTGGGGGGAGACAGCTTGAAACACAGCATGCAATTTGGAAAATCTCAACATGCTGATTGCAAGCAAATATTTAAACAGAGCTGCAAGTTTAAAGCAGTCCACCATGAGACCCCGTGGATTTCTTTTTATGAATGGAACTTAGATCTCCCCTAGAATCCATTGCCAAATATCTGAAAAATTTGTTTTTTGTTTTGTTTTAACAAATAGAAAGGGATCCCAGGCCTATTCCTCTCTATAGTTTGCAGTGTTTCTATTTAAACCTTAGACGTCTCTTCTCCGCAAGGGGCAAGGCGCATTCTCTCAACGGACGGTCGAGGTTGACATTTCTTGATTCTATCCCTTGGATGAGATTCCTGGCCTCTCCAGAAGCCGATCGTGCAAAACTGTGGCAGTTATCCACATTTCCGGTTACTAATCTTCGTCTCCGCATAGATTGGTAACTGGGCAGTTCTTGGAGGAAGGTTACTGCTGGCACATGGGGGTCAGGAAGAAAAACATCTGCCAGAATAACAACAATAAATGACCTTTATCATTTGGTAGCATGTGGTCTTAAGAGGTACTCAATTGTTCACCATGAAAAAGGGCCGCTTAATCAGAGGGCCTTTTTTTTTAGCTTGCTTTTCAATTACAACAGGTGTGCCCACAGAGCAGGGCTACAGATTTAACATTTCACAGAAATTGTGGCTTTAAAAAAACAAACAAACTCCTCAAACACCATCATTGCAAGACATAAATAAACACCAGTTAGTGTAGAACATCAGGGTTGAACTGTGGGCTCCTTGGTGGTCTCTGAGCTTGGTGGTTTTCTTGTAGATCTTTCATGACCCAACTAGGCAACATCATCAGTGCAGCAGTCGGGTTGTGAAACATTGGCAAGAAAACCACCAAGCTCAGAGAGCACCAAGGACCCTACAGACATCAATTATTTTAGATACACTTCTTCCCATGAAGAGTAAAAAGAAATCAAGAGAACCACTTGAGATATTATTGAGGGAAGGATGAGAAAGATAGGTTGACAAGCCAAATCTGACCTGGGTCATTACGTTACATAGAGAAGCTCATTGGCCTGGGTTAAGCATGCTTTTTTAAAAAAACAAACTTTATTAATTTTACAATTAAAATAAACAAACAACACATACACAAATATAGAAAAGAAAAAAAGAAAGAGTTGAGAAGTAAAAGAGAAAAGAGAGAAAAAGAAAAAAGAAGAGTAGAAGAAAAATCAAAAAGTGATTAAAAACAATTCCATCTTCGACAATTTGTGGGTCATTATTTCTATCCTTATTTTATTCCATATTTACAAGTAATCCTTAATGCAAATATATAGTTACCACTACAATTATAGCTTATCCTCTTTTACAATATTATGTAGCCCATCTGGGTTAAGCATGTTAAGCCAAGTTTGTTTAGCCACATTTTCTTGAACAAGCCCTACGGGTTTTCTTCACACAGAACAATGACTCAAACTCAACATTTTGGTTTAGCACCACCAATTAAATGCCAGATCTCTAATGACATTTTTAAAGGTCTGTTTCAGCATTTCCAAGAAATCCTTAAAAGTTTTGCATTTCCCATGTTGGTTACGCTAGCTAGCTGGAGCTTATCAGGGTTGGCCTCCAAGTCCTTGGAGGGCACCTGGTCACTTATCTTTACCAAAGATTATCCTTGTTCATTGTTTAAAAACCCTTTCTTGCAACAGCTAAAGAGCAAGTGCCTGTCATTTGAGGGCTCAATTGCAAACACCCAAAGCCATGAATCCCACCCAATTGGGTTTCAAAGAGAGAAGTATTCACTTTAAACCAGCTTGAGTCAAACTCAGATTCCCCAGTCCTGCAGAATAAATTCAGAATTAAAAATACAGATTCTTTGCAGGGGAACTAGACTCCTGATGGCTCCAGGATTCAAGCCTGCAACTGGGTTGGGGATGAAAGACCACCAAGAAGTTGGGTTGGGGGTGGGAGACCACTGCGGATCTGAATTGGGAATGGGAGACCATCAAGGATCTGAATTGGGAATGGGAGACTGCTGGGAACCTAGTTTGGGGATGGGAGACCACCAGGAATCTGAGGGGTGGGAGACTACCGAGAACCTGAATTGGGGGTGGGGGACCACCAAGAACCTGAATTGGGGGGTGGGAGACCCCTGGGAACCTGGATTGGAAATGAGAGACCACCAGCAACCTGAATTGGGGATAGGAGATCCCTAGGAACCAAGGTTGGGGATGGAGACGGTCAGGAACTTGAATTGGGGATGGGAGACCACCAGGAATCTGGGTTTCAGTGGGAAACCCCTAGGAGCCTAGCTTGGGGATGGGAGACCCCTGGGAACCTTGATTGGGAATGGGAGACCACCTGCAAGTTGAACTGGGGATAGGAAACCTTTGGAAACCTGAGTTGGAGATGGAAGACCACCAGGAATTTGAGTTGGGGATGGGAGACCACCAGGAATCTGGATTGGGGATGGGAGACCCCTGGGATCCTGGATTGGAAATGGGGAGACCACCTGCAAGCTGAATTGGGGATAGGAAACCTTTGGGAACCTGGGTTGGGGATGGGAGACCCCTTGGAACTTAGGCTGGGGATGGGAGACCATCAGGAACTTGAGTTGGGGGTGGGAGACCAACAGGAATCTGGATTGAGGATGGAAGACCACTGTGAACCTGAATTGGGGATGGGAGACCACCAGGAGTCTGGACTGGGGATGGGAGACCCATCGGGAAGAGCCAGGGCAGGCGGTGAGATGCCTACGACCACCTCCCCTCAACCCAACGGAGGCTCCTTCTGAGAAAAGTGTCCCTCCCCACCCAGCCCCCTCCCGGCAGCCCCGACCCACCGTCGCTGCTGCCCTCGGCCGGGTTTTCCGAGCCCCGCCGCCCGCTCATGGCCTCCGCCAGCCGGCTCCCGCCGCACCTCGCCGCCCTTTCCTGCCGGCCTAGCCCGGCCTGGCCCGCCCCGCCTTAGCCGCGCTTCCGGGCCGGGGAGGCCTTTTGGGCGGGACGGGGCGGGTCCGTCTCGGGGTTCGGGCCTTGGGCCAGGCCGGGGATCCTGGTTGGGCCCCTTCCTTCCCCCTTTTCGTCTGGAAATTCTCTGATTTTTTTATTTCGCGTCCCCCTGAATAAATAGGTTCTCTTTCTGGACACGCGACGTTATTCCGTGATAAATGGCATTCATATAAACTGCTTAAAAAACAACAACACCTTTCTCATTCATATATAGTCCATTTCTTCGTGAAATAAAAGCCTCCTTTTTCAGTAAATCCGGTTTTTATTTTCTTTTATTTTTATGTATTTTATTTGTTAAATTTATTCGTCACCCACCTCAGCGCGGGGAATTATTTATTTATTTCGCTTCACTATTTGAGAAATGGGATCTGGTAAAAATTCGACTTCTTTTCATTCAGTGATCTGGTTAATAAGCCTTTTTTTTCTTCAGTAAATTGGAGAAGTTTTAAGTCAAGGCATGCCTTTGTCTTCTTTGAACTTATTTTTTTCCTCTTCAGTTTAATGTCTTTTTTTTTTCTCCCCTCTGTAAATTCAGTTTTATTTTTCTTGATTGTTAGATGAAGGAAGGGGGAACTTTTTCTGTAAATTCAGCTTTACTTCATGATGAATGGAAATCTTATCTCTACCTTTGATTTTTTTTTTTAATCTGATGAACGCCATCTCTTATCTGAATTTGATATTATTCCCTTTCCTCCTGAAATGAATGCCTTTTTCATCTGCAAATTCGATTTGCAGTTGATTAACATGTAATGTTCCCTTTCCTCTATTGAAATTAATGCCTTTTTGTGAAATTGGTTTTATTCCCTTTTGATCATCATTACTAAAGGAAGGCCTTTATAGGATAAATTTCACTGGTAAAGGAAGGCCTTTATAGGATAATGAAAATGATCAACTGCATCTTTTCCATTTGTGTTCAACAAAATATTTCCCAGGGTTTTAAAAAATAATTTCAATCGTGTTGTTGCCATCCAGGTGTTTTAATAAACAGGAAGTGTTACATTTTTTTTTCATCCACATTTGCATTCTCCAGGCTTTCATTCTTTGAAAAACAATACTTGTACAGTTGCGTTTTCCACTTTCCATTCATCACAACTGTTGTATGTTTGCTAAAGATAAATATTAGCTTTGAATATTTTGACAACAATTTGGTTCAGAGCATTCTGATCCGTGGTATGCATTCGCTGGCCTTATCAATTGGCCAGTGTTTGGCTTGCCTTATCAATTGGCCAGTGTTTAGGCTTGCCTTATCAATTGGCCAGTCTCTGGATCTTTGAAAAGTTTTAAAAGAAAGAAGAGGATTGCTTGAACTAAAAGTAAGTCAGTAGCTGCGAATTCTAAGCCAGAGTTTCTCCTTCTGATTTTTTAAAAAAGTTTTGAACAAATAATATACTACACAGGTGATCCTCAATTTACAACCATTTGCTTAGCGTCTGTTCAAAGTTACAACAGCACTGAAAAAAAGTGACATATGAATGGCCTCGCCCTTACAACTGTTGCAGTATCCCCATAGTTGTGTGATCAAAATTCAGATGATTGGTATATGACGTATTTATGTTGATTGTAGCATCGGAGAGTCACGTGATCACCATTCATGAACTATTTATTTTTATTTATTTGTCAAGCAAGTACTAGATAACAGGTATAAATATAAACATGGTTATGAATACATGAAATGGATACGAATAAAAAGAAACAATAGGACAGGGATGGTGGGCACGTTGGTGCGCTTATGAATGCCCCCTACAGACCTCTTAGGAAAGGGGTGAGGTCAGTAGTAGACAGTCTTAAGGTTAAAGTTTTTGGGGTTTGGGGAAGAAACCACAGTCAGGTAGAGTATTCCAAACATTGATCACTCTGTTGCTGAAGTTGTATTTCCTGCAATCAAGTTTGGTGCAGTTTACCTTGAGTTTGTATCTATTGTTTGCTCTTGTATTGTAGTTGCAGCTGACGTATTCATTGACAGGTAGGACATTGCAATAGATAATTTTATGTACTATGCTTACTTCCGACATGCTTAGCAATCACATATTTCACTTAAAAATTGCAATGATTTGCTTAACAACCATGGCAAAAAGCTCATAAAATTGGATGTGACTCACTTAATAATGGAAATTCTGGCCTCAATTGTCATAAGACGACTGCATGCTGTAGCTATGTTGTGCTTCTAGGAAGGAACTGAGGAAGCCTGATCTGCCATTAAGACAGAGTTTACCAGCCACTGACCTTGCAAACTCTGGAACTATGGCTTCCAGTATCCTTTATATCAGATAAGGTAACCAAGATTGTCTGGATTCTCAGATGGAAGCTCCCCAAGCTGTCATCCTGTTGAATGTGCACCTAGAAAAATGGAAGTTCTTATATGGCTATGTCTTCTCCAGGTTTAACCCAGGCTTGTGCCATCCATTGCACTAAACAAAATGTGGGTTGTTTGTGGTGACCTCAATAAACTAGGGTTCAGCAAAGTATGGTTTATTGGGATGTGAGAGGAGGTCATCATAATCTGTAACCGCAGACTGTGGTGACAGGATTAGGGCATTTTAGAGATTTACTGATTTATTATCAGGTTTTATCATAATGAAAATCACGCGTTCATTGAATGGAAAGATTTTTCTGTTCTGAACTGAACAAATACAGTCAGCATCTACTTTTCCTAGGAACTTAATTACCAATAATATGCACATTGTCAGCTTCCTGTGACAAAACAGACAATTGAAATGCCACGAGTAATACAAAAAGTACTTTCAGTGATACGTTCTGCATGAATGTGGAAAAGAAAAGAAAACAAACATTTGGCTATTTGATTTATTTATTGCTTTTCTCGTCATTCAGCCTTTAAAAAAAAAAAAATTAAAATCCTTTGGACTTAAGACAATGAAGACTAAAGCTTTCCAGTTAGTCTTATTGGTCTATTTGCCTCTCCTTACCTACAAATTTAAGTGAAAGGCTGAAAGTAACTGATGGCAGAACCTGTTAGCAATAATAATGCTCTCTTTTCTAACTGCAGTAGTACAGCGATGTAGCAAAAAATCCAAAGTGACTTGAAATAGGTAAAATCCCAAAAGAGTAAACTATAGAAGAAGAAACACTATGGTGACACAAGCAAAAACAGCCCAAGGCAGAGTAACATATGATAGGAAGAATCTACTTCATTTGATCTCAGGTTGGCTGCCTAGGATTGGTTGTAGCAAGGTAGGTTAATTCCCTCCTCCCCCTCCCCTTGCACACACCTGTCTGTAAACTGCAAATGATGTGTGCACCCTGCAGGACAAAGATTGAATTTCTGGGACTTTGGGTGAGTTGGCAGCTGCATACTGGCATTTCTTCTAGCAACTCTTCCAAAGATACATTACGGATCTTTTCTCTTCTATTTCTCTTGTTTTCCCCAGGATCTTATGCCAAGTTTTCCAAGAAAACAGGGAACTGCAAAGATGACATGATCTGAACAAATGTTGCCGGTGGTGCCAGCCAAGAAATCTTAAATTGATACTGATCCTGTGAGGGGTAAGTAACCTTAAGACTTTCTTTCGGGATAGAATAACAGAGTTAGATGGGACCTTGGAGGTCTTCTAGTCCAACCCCCTGCTCAAACAGGAAACCCTATCCCATTTCAGACAAACAGTTGTCCAGTCTCTTCTTAAAAACCTCCAGTGTTGGAGCACCCACAAATTCTGGAAGGAAGCTGTTCCACTGGTTAATTGTCCCCACTGTTCGGTAGTTTCTCCTCAGTTCTAGGTTGCTTCTCTCCTTGATTAGTTTCCATCCGTTGTTCCTTGTTCTGCCTTCAGGTGCAATAGGTTGTCCCTCTCTTTTCTGTGACAGCCCTTCAAATAACGGAACAGTGCTATAATGTCACCCCTAATCCTTTCCAGCACTGTTGTTTTGAAAAGGGGCATGATTGCAGGAATATTGTTTTCTGCATTTCTTCATCCCGTTCCTCCATGTCTAGGACAACCCATATTGTATATAAAATTGTTTGTCCCCTCCTTCAGGGCTAACGTTAGAGAGAGAATATTTTCTCTTCTTCCTCACTGGAGAACTTACTTCATTTCTTAACGTTTATCTCCCAACCCTTTTCCAAGCAGTTCTAACTGGTATTTATGCTTAATCCCTTTGTATTGTTTTTTCTGTTCAACAATATTGGCAGGTAGGTTAAGCTGTGAGAATTCCTAATTGTGTACAATTTGTATAAAGCCAGTTAATTTACTTTAATATACCATATCAACCTAGACATTGATTGCAAATTACTGTTTTAGCATGAACTAAAGACAAGTACATCATATGTTAACTGTTGAAATTTATTCAGTGAACTGTGGTTAAAACAAGCCATAATTTTGCAAGAATTCAGTCAATAAATACCCCAAGATTATTCTGAAAATCCTAATTTCCCAATTCTTCCAACCATATACAATCTAAATCGTGCAAACTCTGTCATTATGCTCACTTTATGAAGAATCTCCAAAACTCAGTTGTTCAAACTATAGGTATGTCCTGTAACTATGCCTGCTACCTGGTGAAGTGTTGACCTTTTTAAGTTAGAATTGTTCTTTTCAAAAGATTATTGAAACTTTTATTTTGTTCTTCATTGTAATTGCATAATTATTTTACAAGGAACCTTCAGTTCAAGGGTTTTGCTAATAAGGAAGTAAATGCAATTTATTGGACCGGGAAAGATCAGGGGAAAAAGAGATCTGACAAGTTGGATTAATGATTATTAGTGCCAAAAGATTTGCTAAAGTTCTTGAAAATATAGGGTAGCCTTTGTGATAATTTCTGCCAGTAATTCCTGAGTGTCTCATTGGTGGACAAGCTAGTTAACGGGTTGCATTTTTTTTTCTATTCAGACTACAGTGCAGGAATTACATTTTCCCAGTGTATTTGGGTAACTATAAACAGAAAGAACATCTATTCATTTCCTCCTGGTG